CGAACCGCGGGAGGGGGAGTCGTACGGACCTGTTCAAACATGTTCAAGGTCGTTTGGATAATGACGTCATCGCTAAAATAATATTAACTCTCAATTAGATATTTAAATTGCGCAGTAAAATAATAAAGCATATTCGTAATAATGAGAGCAGGATCGGAGGACTTGAGCGTTGCGGATGAGATAACGTGGGAGTGTGGGTGGCTCGGCGGAGCGTTGCCGCTTGCGAATGAGATAACGTAGAAGTGTGTGTAGCGTCGGTGGAGCGTAGTTATCAGCTCTACCGGAATTAGTCAATTAGCGACGAGCCGTAAAAATGGAGCATGCATATTCGACATGTTTTATTTATTTCAGGTAAGTGAGCATTATTGATGACATTATCGGTTGTAACGTGTTCGAACGTGGTCGAACGTGGTCAAGATTGTTGCGGATGATGACGTCATTGCTAAAAATAGAACTCGAACAAGTCCGAACGTGTTCAAAGTCGTTCGGATGATGACGTCATTGCTAAAATAATATTAAGTCTCAATTAGATATTTAAATTGCGCAGTAAAATAATTAATTCCGAGAAAAACCGCAATTTCCCGGAAGCGGTTTGCCTTTAAAAATAAATAGCGCGCAGTTTGTAACTGCGAAGTAAAATAATACTTAATTAATTCCGAGAAAAACCAAAATTTCCCGGAAGTGCGTCTTTTCTTATCGCCGAAGCGATGAGTCATTTTCTGCGATAACATTTGCAACCGTTACGTACCGGATGTGGTTTTGATTTTACGCACTTCCGGTGCGCGCGTAAAAAACCGTACATACCGGATGTGGTTTTTTAAAATTGCAATTTCAAACTTAAAGATTTCGAGAAAAGATAAGGAGCAAAATAAAGAGGTACCTCGAGTTCGGGAGCAAGTCACAAGTCATTTTGATCGCGAGCAATCGAGATCGCAAATCGTATAGGTCGCAAGCCGTATAGATAATAAGTCGTCGTCATCGTCGTTTTTTGAAATGTTTAACGGAGTAAACACGACGTGCATTTTACACCTGTCGGTCGAAGAGTTGAAAAACATTCCAAAGAGGATTCTTCTAAAAGTGTTCGATAATTATGTGGAGCTTTTGTGAGACCGATTGTCTAAGTATTTGAGGGAAAATCTCGTGCAGCTGTATCGTTGATGTCTCGAGCATTACAGTCAACCGGGAGACTACGATCACATTGATGGACCAGCCCCGCTGAAAAGATATTGTCGCGTGTGTATTGCGAAAGCCAAGATGGAAAATCAACAATGAATCGGATCAGACAACCAAAATTGCAAACATGAACGATCGCGAACTGCTCGAAGAAGAGACCGCGCTCCTCAACACGTTAGATGGTTATATCGTCTAGAGACGCTGAGAGAAGAGTTCCAAAGAAAATGCCCGCGACTATCTACGGGTGTGATAAATTGGCACGTTGCTCGAATCTCGCGACTCGAAGGTTCGCGCGCGGTTCTTTGCGAACGATTCGCGCACGTGGGTGCGGATGTAGAGAGTGCGGGATCGAAGTCGAGACAGCGTTTAAAAATCGTTTGGTGACTGGCATTGTGGTGAACAAGTCGTTCATCAAACCCCGTCAATTTCTCGAAGCCGCTAGAGACACTGTGCTCGCGCGCGTTCATCGAGCGATCGCGCGGTACGCTAGTGTGAAAGTGAACACAGTGTTCAACGGGAAGTTTGTCGCGGGTGAAAAAACGAGTGCGAAATTGTTCAATACGCGCAATCGCGGACTCTATCACTCGTCGGATTTGCGCGAGTGGTACGATCGAGACGTGATGGATGCAACAATGACCGCTCTGGAAGAGTTCCAGGAACGCGACAGCAGCTGGGCGTTGACGCAGATACTGAACCTCACAGTGAATGTGAACAGTCACAATCCAATGCGCGCGGAATGTCAGGTTAAAATACCGCGTGAGGTTCTGCTCAAACACGCGGTAATGTATGTACAGTCGCAGAACAATGCGTGTTTCGCGTGGGCGATGATCGCCGCGTTGTATCCTAGTGCTTCACATCCTCAACGACAATCACAGTATCCCACGTTTGAGAGCGTGTTTAACCTTCAAGGAATAGAATTTCCAATAACATTGCACCAAGTCGCGCGTTTCGAACGCAACAACAACGTGTCCGTAAACGTGTTTACGGCGGCGGAATAAGAACACGGATATGTGCCGCTGCATCTCACGTCGAACAAGAAGGACAAGTATGTGAATCTGTTGTATGTTCCCGATCAACACGATGGACATGTGGGACACTTCGCGTGGATAAAAAATTTATCGCGTTTAGTCAGCTCGCAATTGAGCAAAAGGAAGACAGCGAAGTATACGTATATGCAATCGGTAAGTACGAACGATTGTTGCAACAGTAACAATGTTGAATAAAAGTGATCTTCTAAATTGTGAGATGATGAACTCGTTAATCAATGTTGTGTGTATTGTATTTTTATTGCAATACGTATATAGATGTCTGCACTACTTCTACACAAGCGAGAAGCTGGCGGAACACATCGTGGACTGTGAACGATTGAACGACAGCGCAGTTGTTCTTCCCTCTAAAAGAAAGAATCGTTTGAGATTTGAGAATTATAACAACAAGAAACGTGTTCCAATGGTGGTATACGCCGACTTGGAGTGCGTACTCAAGAAACAAGATGAAGAGCAGAACGCATCGAGCGCGTACAAGTACCAAAGACACAGTGTGTTCAGCATCGGTTACTACGTGAGCTACGCGCACATCAATATCGGATACAGATCTCATAGAGGCGAGAACTGCGTGCAGTGGTTTGTGAATGAACTGCACGATCTCGCGAAACGTGCAAAGACCTTGTTTGCGAAAAACGTGCCTATGGCGAATCTCACACCGTTGGAAGTCGAGCAGTTGAGGAACGCCAAATATTGCCACGTGTGCGAACGACCGTTCGAGCGAGATGACAAGAGGGTGCGCGACCACTGTCATCTGACGGGACGCTTCAGAGGATCCGCGCACTCCGCGTGCAATCTGAATTACAAACAGGTCTACGTTGTTCTCGTTGTGTTCCACAACTTGTTAGGATACGACGCGCATTTTATTATCAAAGATGTGGCCATCGCTTTCGAGGGTGAGATCAACGTTCTGCCTGTGATGAAAAAGACCTACATATCGTTCACAAAACATGTAAACAGTACTCGAGACGAAGACAAACATAGATGCGTGCAATTGCGGTTCATCGATTCCTACAAAGTTTTGAGCATAAGTTTAGAAAAGCTCGCGTCCTATCTCGACAGGAGCGAGCTGCGAGTAACTCGAACGGAATTCAGTGATCTCTCTGCCGAGAACTTTGAACTGCTCACGCGAAAAGGTGTGTTTTCATACGAATATGTGGACAGCGTCGACAAACTGTTAGAAACCAGTCTACCACTGCGCGAGGCGTTTTACAGTTTGCTCACCGATGAAACCGTAACGGAGAGCGATTACGCGCACGCGGTGAATGTATGGCGACGATTCATAACATCGACAATCTGGGATCATACAGCGACCTGTATCTGAAGATGGACGTACTTTTGCTGGCCGATTTATTTGAAAACTTTCGTCGCGAGTACCTCGCGAGTTACGGACTGGATCCCGCGCACTACTACACGCTGCCTGAATATACATGGGACGCCATGTTGAAGCACACTTGTGTGACATTCGAGCTGTTGACCGATATCGACATGATGATGTTTGTGGAATGCGGCATTTGTGGAACGCGGCGGTTTGAGTCAATGTTCAAACAGATACGCCAGCGCAAACAACAGATACGCGCGTTCGCACGACCCGTCCGCACCGTCGACGTGAACAATCTCTACGGATGGGCAATGTGTCAACCGTTTCCGTACGGTAACTTCACATGAGTGGAGAACGCGTCCGAGTTCGATGTAACAACGGTAGCGGCGGATAGCAACGTCGGCTACATACTCGAGGTGGATCTGGCGTATCTGAAAGAATTGCACGACGCGCACAGAGATCTACCTTTTTGTCCGACGCGTGAGGAGCCGCCTGATAAACATGGAAAAAATCACGTCAAACTGCTCGCCACGGTGTTCAACAAGAAGCGCTACGATTCACTACTTGAACCTGCAGCAGTGTCTGCGACACGGGCTTTGTCTGACGCGAATACATCGAGTGCTGCGGTTCTCGCAATCGCCTTGGGTGCGCGGGTACATCGAGCTCAATACCCGATTCTGCGCGAACGCCACCAACGAGTTTACAAAGGACCTTTACAAACTTATGAACAACGCGGTGTTCGGCAAGAAAATGGAGGACGTGCGCAAGTACACCGACGTATGACTCGTTATAAAATGGGAAGGACGATACAGTGCGGAGGCGCTCAGTAAAACCAAACTTCCACAGTCGCAGCGTGTTCGCTGAAGATCTGGTGGCCATAGAACTGCGTCGTCTGGAAGTTTTATTCAACAAACCGTTGTACGTCGATATGTGCATACTCGACATATCGAAGACCTGTCTTTACGAATTCCATTATGATTACATGGCACCATTGTACGGTGACGATTGCAAGATCCTCTACACCGATACCGACAGTTTGATATACCACATAAAGTGCGAGGACGTGTACGAGAATATGAAGCGCGATATCGCTCGCTTCGATACCAGCGACTATCCAGCGGACAATCCGTACAACATGCTTCGCGCGAACAAAAAAATACCAGGGTATATGAAGGATGAGAACAACGGTGCTGTTATGACGGAGTTTGTGGGTTTGCGCACAAAGATGTACGCGACTCGAGTGGGCAACAGCAAGTGCACAAAGAAGGTGAAGGGTGTAAAGAGAAGCGTCGTCGCAAGAACGATCACCTTTGACGACTACGTGCAATGTCTGCGGAACGCATCGAACTGACGCGACACCAGTCATGCATACGATCTCGGCTGCACGAGGTGTTCACCGTTTCGGAGCGGAAGCTCGCTCTGAGTCCGCACGACGACAAGCGGTACATCGTCCATGAATTAACCGACACCTTACCGTGGAGTCACTACAACTAAGTTAGATTAGGTTACGTTGAGGATATAATAATAATATAATAATAACAGAATAAAGTAATTATATGTAAGTGTATTTTTTTTATTGTATATAACAAAAAATACATGTAAGAATAAAGTCATTATATGTAATTGTATATAAACACAAAATATATGTAAGATAATATAATTGTGATATATGTAATTGATATTGTAAATATAATAGAATCAAAGAGAAAAATTACACACATAGCATAATAATATTAGACAACATTGTTCTTATTTATCCAGGAATTGTGCGAACTGTCCAGTCCCAACCACTTGACCAACACCTCGTTGCCTCAGCGACGTACAATCTTTTCTACGAGATACACATCCGGATGTTTGGCCGCGTGCAACTCGTGTTTGTAAAATCCACCGGCTAAAGACACCGCGATAATCCTCGAGAAGATAGGTTGCTGGTGAAGTTTGTTGCTTTTTAACGCGGAACACCTCGGTGGTCCAGTTTGGAGTGTAATCCTTCGCAAAGACGGTTTTGTACTTGCTCACGCGCACAGGATCGCCGACTCTGAATCGCGCTGGTCCGGCGATCTTGACGTTGCTGTACACCGTGCGCAGAAGTCGCTCGCTCAAAGCCGGCGTTACGTCGATCGGTCGCGCGCCGATGGTGCAATGCTTGCACGCGTTGTACTCCGTTACAAGTCGCTGCAAGTCGTCAATCCAGCGATACGATCCGTTTAGCGTGAACATCTTTTACATGTTGTTCTTGAGCGTGCGATTGAAACGTTCAACCACCGACGCTTTCATAACAGAGTAGTGGAGTAGATCACTATGTGGAGTAGTGATTGATGCCGTGACGATGCATCAGATTTTCCACATCCGCGTTGTAGAACTCCTTGCCGCGATCGGTTGCAGATTCGTCGGACAACGACCGTCGACGCGAAAAATCTTCGCGAACGCCCCAGCGACTTCTTTGTCGCTCTTGCTCTTAAGCGGCAATGCCCACGCGTACTTGCTCAACACATCGATGACTGTGAAAATGTAGTTGTGATCTTTGTTCTGACAAACGTAATGACGCATCTCGACCACGTCGGCCTGCCACAGATCGTCGTAACCCCGCACAACGTCTCGTCTGCGCAGAAAGTTGCGTCACGCGGGCGCGTGCAGCTTCTCTGCGAGCTCTCTCTTCTCGACACTCATGTCGATTGCGGCTGCTTGTCTTGTCTTGCTAATTTTCGCACAGTCTTGCGCAGGCTACTCACGTCAGTGTTGAGCTCGTTGATAGAGTTCCACATATTGTGAAACGATTCGTTAAGTATCGTGTCTTGCAAGCGAGCGATTTGCAAATAAATAAAGATCTTGAACGTGAGTCGGAACAGCGCTGTGCAACTCGCTCACATTTGTTTGCAGAGACTCAATCACTTTTTTCAATTCCGTGCGCGAATTCTCTAGCTGTACTAATCGATTGTACACGTTTATTCGCAGAGTCTCAATCGCCTCTAACACTTCTACGTGAAATTGATTTAGTTCTTTCTTCAAGTCTTCGATCTTGCACGGATCCGCACCCCGCTGTCTCGTCTCCAGCTGCAACAATCGGTCGTACGCGTTTGTTCGCAAATGCTCAACGGCCTCAGTTCTTTGGTTGACTGCTCCTCGTATTTATTAAAATCGTCGAACTCGCGTTGATTGACAAAATGTCTCGCGCTCTTCTCCAAGCTTGACAACCGCTCTTCCGTCGCCTCAGCGCGCGACAACGCAGTCGCGGAGCTATCTCGCAGATTATCTACAGTTTCCTTAACTTTCGCTATGGAGTTCGTCGTAGTGGTTGAGAGTGCGTCCACGTTTGCGCCCAGGATAACTGCGGCATCGAACGCTCGCGAGAGAGCGTTGTCTACGTAGATCTTGGTCGCGGCGTCAGAATTGTTTCGCGGTTTCGTCAAATAAAAGAATTATCGCGCGTTCTCGAGTATGTAGCCGACGTTGCTATCCGCCGCTACCGTTGTCACATCGAACTCGGACGCGTTCTCCACTCATGTGAAGTTACCGTACGGAAACGGTTGACACATTGCCCATCCGTAGAGATTGTTCACGTCGACGGT